GCTTCTCCGTTCTAATTCGCACTAAGCCGCTCCGCTCAACACCGCTCCTCACTCCACTAAAATTTCCTCCCGCTCCAGTCAAATCGCTCCACGCTCGCTCCAATTTAAAAGAGGGACAAATATTCTGCATGCCTAACAAATGTCACCTTAAACCGAAGCCTTATATCATAAAGAAGTATCAGCACTCAGAAAATATGCTTAGCCATACTAAGCTGCTTATATTGTGGGCGTAAATAAATGTCCGTATAGCACACAAAAGCTGGCGCACCACCAAATGTTGCGCCTGTCATCTGAAGCCCTAGTGATTATTGCGCATGCGTGATTTAATCGCGATTTGATATCGCCCAGCCCTAGTTGAAATATGCTTACCAATGAGCCATGCATCTCCAGCAGCTCCTTGTTCTAGGTGCATACCTACCAAACTATTCTGCAGTATATAGGAGTCATGCGCACCTCCGGGGAAGCGGGAGACGACATTCAGTAGATGGTACTGGGCGTTGCAGATGAGTTGCACGTTAATTGAATGAAACTGTTTGCGGTTGAGGTAGGGAAATGGATCTGGTGAGGGTGCCTTGATGCGCACGTGAATGCAGTCTGTTGCCCCGATGGTATTAGGCAGACCGGCAATAGCATAAAACCCTCTCATGACTGGCAGCTGCTGTTGCGGTCTATAAGGGAAGGATATATATTGTGTGGCCAACTGATTTATTCCATCCACAACTCGTGGAAGAGCGCGGCTGATGGATGGCTGTGATATTCCCACCTGGTCTGCTAACTTCCACTGAAATGTCCCAGTGGCTAAAAAGCCCAAGGTGCAAAGTACCTGCACATGTGGTGGCACAGGGTTCGACCGTCGTGTATAGCTTTGCAGCGCAGGCTCCAAAATGTCACACAGCTCAGTTAAGACCGGACTTGGTAGCCTAAACCTTGAAATTAAGTACTTATCAGACTCCGCAAATAAATCTAAATGATCTTCGATCATGCGTTCCCTTCTCAGAGCACGACTGGCAAGCTCTTCAAGAAGTAACAGAAATGCCATTTTGATAGCAAGGCCAATACGCAGAAACAGACCTATTTATAATCCACAATTGCCGTTACTACCATGAAAATAATTTTTACACTTTAAAATTATTTTTTATATTTTACTTTTATAAATTATTCAAATACTATCATTTTATCGACTGTAGAATGAACAAAACTGCTATAACCAATTATTTTGAACAAACTATCATTTCTCAAATGTGCGTACGAATGGTCTTGAGTGTGCGTAGATTCTGTTCTTAGCTAAGAACAAATTCAGATAAGAAAACATTGGTGAATGTCAGACTCTTCATAAAAAAGTGCGGACGTGGGGTATAAAAACAAATTTGTTCGTAAGAACGGTTGGTGAATGAGGCCCATTGATATAATGAAGCCACCCTAATGAAAAAAGTTTAAAATGGCATCTTACATCTTTACAATTTAAAATACACCACTAGGTTATTCTGTGTCAGCAGCAATAGCACTTTTAATGGGGACCATTTCAGAATTTCTGTTACGCTTGTGTAGATAATTTGAGGTCTTTATATTTCTGCCATTTTCACAGAGACCAAATGGAAGGATGCAGTTCAGATCTACGGGATAAACAGGATTTATCTTCCATATTGAAGGTTTGTATTTATTGCGGATATACATTTTCATAAGTTTTGTGTGAATTAGCTTACATTTTATACAACTTTATAGTAAGCTATTAATGTTAATGAAAAGATATTCAAACCTATGAGTCAATAAATAAAACTATGAAATGGTTTAGTTCCAGTAGCAATAATTAACTGTGACGGTGTATTTTAGTCACTTGAGGAAAATGCTGTAAGGTACCTGAAGGATGAGCTGAAGAAGATCACAAGGTACCTAGATAAGAATTACCCAGAATGCTCAGAGCCTCAGTTGGAGGGCAATGACCTGGACAGTGATGGTCAGATGCAGAAGACCTGTGCTAGAGAAGGAGCTCTGAAGATCACACTGTACATCCTGAGGGCCATGAAGCAAAATGATCTCGCTGACATACTGGAGAAGAGTAAGAGCTGAAACTCATTCTCTGTGTGTGTTTGTTTGGCCTCAGAAAAATAGCATATGAGAAAAAGCATGTGTTACATTTCTGTTTGTCATTTAATTTACAGTGGTACCTCAGTTCTCAAACTAAATCCGTTCCGGACTCAGGATCGAATATTAAAAATCGAATTTTTCACATAAGAAATAATGGAAAACCAATTAATCAGTTCCTGGCCCCCCAAAATTACACCTAAATATGTTTTTTTTTTTTTTGGCATTTAAACACAAAATAAACAGGATAAAACAAGAAGAGCATTTTTTTCTTAATGGCTTCCAAAACGATAAAGATCTTATCCCTACATAGGGTTGGACGATATCATATCATATTATATCGCGCATGCGCAATAATCACTAGGGCTTCAGATGACAGGCGCAACATTTGGTGGTGCGCCAGCTTTTCTGTGCTATACGGACATTTATTTACGCCCACAATTTAAGCAGCTTAGTATGGCTAAGCATATTTTCTGAGTGTTGATACTTCTTTATGATATAAGGCTTCGGTTTAATGTGACATTTGTTAGGCATGCAGATTATTTGTCCCTCTTTTAAATTGGAGCGAGCGTGAAGCGATATGACTGGAGCGGGAGGAAATTTTAGTGGAGTGAGGAGCGGTGTTGAGCGGAGCGTCTTAGTGCGAATTACAGTGGAGAAGCGGGCGGAGCCAACAGCCTCGTGGCCAGGAGCGGAAATTCTCACTGCTCCACTGCGCTCACATGCTCTGATACAAAGCCTCATTAATAATTTAGCCGTACTAAGCTGCTTAAATTGTGGGCGTAAATAAATGTCCATAAAGCACAGAAAAGCTGGCGCACTGCCAAATGTTGCGCCTGTCATCTGAAGCCCTAGTGATTATTGCGCATGCGCGATATAATATCGATATGATATCGTCCAGCCCTATCCCAACATTACCCATTTCCTGCCCCGATCGTCCACTCCTTCCGTGTGCCACGCCCCCTCGTTAACCTCGTGTGGAATCCCCATGTGATCAGCTGTTTCTGGTTGTTGTCATTAGTCCTCTGTATTAAGTCTGCGTTTCAGTTTGTATGCCTAGTCCGGTCATTGGGTGCGTTCGACTTGCTTACAGCGCTGGCTTAAAGCAAGGCATTCTGATTCTGACGCAATGCATTATGGTTAGATGCATTGCGAACTCTCACCCAGCTGCACAAACTGGAACCGCCTCCGTGACAACACACCTTTGCCCTTATTGGCTGAAGAGTTTAGTTACATGCATGACGTTTGTATCCCAGGCAGTTCCGATGCGTAATCTGCTATTTCTCCCGAATATCACGTAAAGCAGTGAGAACTGGTTTTCAGTTAATTTACCTGGTAAAATAAAGTTTAATTAAATGACATAAATGCTCTAATAGTACACGTAAGTTAGTGGTTTATTTATTGTTAGTTACTGTAATGTTGTGCTGCTTTATTTGGTTAATCATCCAGCCTGTGAAGAAGGCATTCAAGAAAGAATTGCATTGTAGTATGACTCATTTCCTGGCGCGTACAATTTATATTAGATCAGTGTTCACAGTTCGACTTCTGATATTCAGATTGGGTTCTAGGTCAAACTGGTTTGTTCGACTTTCAAGAAATTCGAGTTCTAGTGAGTTCGAGAACCGAGGTACCACTGTAATTTGATTTAGGCTTGCTTCTATGAGAAAAAATGTGTTTTTTTGAAAATTCTGTGCATTTACCTATCATTTCATTTCAGGGCGTCTTCTGTCACAATGTCACCACAGAATCAAATGGACTCTGAAGCAGAAATTTGAGTGTGTATTTGAAGGGAAAGCTAAGGAAGGACAGCCAACACTTCTCAATAAGATTTACACAGAACTCTACATAACTGAAGGTGGGACTGGAGCAGTCAATGATGAACATGAAGTGAGACAGATTGAAACAGCATCCAAGAAAAGGCTAACAGAAGATACTACAGTCAAGTGCAATGATATATTTAAACCCTTATGTGGGCGTGAGACGCCTATCAGAACTGTACTCAGTAAAGGGGTGGCAGGTATCGGGAAAACAGTCTCTGTGCAGAAATTTATTCTCGACTGGGCAGAAGGAAAAGCAAACCAGGATGTTCACTTCATAATTGCTCTTTCTTTCCGGGATCTGAATTTGATTAAGGTTGAATACAGTCTGATTGAACTGCTTCTCCACTTTGTCCCTGATCTCAAATCAGTTGAACCCACTGAGCTGTTTAGGTACAAAATCTTGTTCATCTTTGATGGTCTGGATGAGTGTCGCCTTCCTCTAGATTTTCATGACAATGAGAGCTGGTTTGATGTAACAAAGAAAACGTCACTGGATGTGCTGTTGACTAACCTCATTAAGGGGAATCTGCTTCCATCCGCTCTCCTCTGGATAACCTCCCGGCCAGCAGCAGCCAATCAGATACCTCCTAAGTGTGTCCACCAGGTGACAGAGATACGAGGGTTCAATGATGCCCAGAAGGAGGAGTATTTCAGGAGGAGATTCAGTGATCAGAGCCTGGCCAGTTGGATTATCACACATGTGAAATCATCAAGGAGCCTCTTCATCATGTGCCACATACCTGTGTTCTGCTGGATTTCAGCCACTGTCTTTCAGAGGTTTTTTAGTGAGACTGACAGGAGAGAAATTCCTAGCACTCTGTCTGAAATGTACACACACTTCCTGATCTTTCAGACAAGTTTAAAAAATGACAAGTACATGAAAAACAGTGAAACCAAGCTTAATAAATGCTTTGAATCTGGTAAGGAGTTCCTCTTAAAACTTGGTAAACTGGCTTTTGACAACCTTGAGAAAGGCAATCTCATATTTTATGAGCAAGATCTGGCAGAGAATGACATTAATGTCAGTGAAGCTTCAGTTTACTCTGGAGTGTGTACAGAAGTCTTTAAAGAGGAATATGGGTTGTATCAGGAGAAGGTGTACTGCTTTGTGCATCTGAGCATCCAGGAGTATCTCGCTGCTTTTCACGTGTTTCTATCAAACTCATCAGCTGACCTGCTGAAGACAGCAGTGGATCAGGCATTAGAGAGCAAGAATGGACACTTGGACCTTTACCTCCGCTTCCTCCTGGGCCTCTCAACAGACTCCAGTAAGACACTGTTACAAAGGCTACTGGGAAAGACAAAAACCAGTTCACATGACATTAAAGAAACAGCTCAATTCATCAAGGGGAAGATAAAGGAGAATTTATCTCCAGAAAGGACCATCGACCTGTTCCACTGTCTGAATGAACTAGGTGACAATTCTCTAGTAGAGGAAGCACAGAAGTACCTGAATTCAGGACGTCTTTCAGCAGAAGACCTCTCCCCTGCACAGTATTCAGCTCTGGCCTTTGTGTTACTCATGTCAAATGAGGAGCTGGATGTGTTTGATCTGAAGAATTTCATCAGATCAGATAAGGAGCATTGGAGGCTGCTGCCTGTGGTCGAGACATCTAGGACAGCTCTGTAAGTGAAGATGTGAAAAAATGTCATGTCCGGGCAGTAAAAGATTAACATATGTAAAATATACAATTTATGTCTCCTTGTGGATTAATAACTGGGCTGGATTTGTTTTTTCATAATCCAGAGCCCAGATTTTATAATGACTGAGTGATATTTCCATTACCATCCAGTGTGCATCCTAACCTTAAATATACTATTAATTTCTTATTGTGGATTATTAACTGGGCTGGATTTGTTTTTATAATCTGGGACCCAGATTTTATAAGGGTAGTGACTGGGGGTAGTCAGTGTGCATCCTAACCTGCCATAGAAACAAAGAGGCTCTTTATCTGGAGGGTTTATACGTGAAATGATCCTTTATTTGCACAAGTACAGGTACATTGGAATGCTTCCACTCTCCATGAGAGACACAGACACATTTACAGGTGACACCAAGCTTAGGGTCACAGCACAGGTCAGCTGACATCCAGTAGCCCTGGAGCTGGGGGTTAAGGGCCTCGATCAAGGGCCCACAGACATGTGACTGTTCTGCTGAGTGTCTGACCAGCGATCCTCCAACCACAGGCACAGAGGCT